TACAAGTGATGTCATCATTGCATCACAACAGTTTTTGTCAGCCTCTTTTCTCAGATTTTGTCCCCCATGCACCCTAAACCCACTCCATCACATTTAATTTTTAAACCCCTTGATAACTACCTTTGACATCTCCTTAACCATCATTGCATGTGATTAGAAGGTAACTTGATGGAAAGATGACTTTTCATCTTCCCCATAACCACCTGTGACATAGCCGGCTGTTTCCTCCATCCATCACCCGTCATTCTTTGTACTTCAAATCACCAAAACCACTCTCCATAAACCACTCTCACTAAACTCAAACTGTCACTCCACTCTTTTCTCCTCACCTTCGAAAACCATGGCATGAATGAAGAGGGCAGCCGTCCGCGACCCACCACAACCGGTCCGGCGAAGTAACCGCCGGCGGGCATGCGCCTCCGCCTCGCGACAGACAGGGGAGCCCGAAATGATAGACCTAGTTGCAAACAGCCCCTCGTCGTCTCCTCCCTCATCACTGTCGCCACCTATACCTCCGATTGTCACGCCATTAATCGCCGACTCACCACCTCCGCGCGCTAGACGAACGCTGCGCCGGCCCCCTTCGCATCCTCCGCCTTCGACCGACTGCCCCCCTTCGCCTTTACCATCTTCCAATGTCGCGCCACCATCTTCACAACCTGCGGCAGTCGACACCATCGCCCTGCCACCATCATCGCCGCCGGTAGTTACGAGCCCTAATTTGGGTGGTGAGGTTAGTCTTATTTCAAGCCTAAATTTGCCTATAGAGGGATTAACAACATCTGATTCTTCTGAGGATGAAAACTTTGTTCCACCTAAATATCCCTCCACTGTTTTGAGTCCATCAAAGTTATATTTTTTTAACATGGTATGATCAACCTTGTGCATACATGCCCGAAGCCACTGTTTTGGCCAATCCCATACCTCACATTGGTGAGGATGAATCTGTTGGGCTTGAGGATATTGAACTGCATGATAGGGAAGATGTTTTTGACACCCCACACAGTGAGGCTGAGTTAGAAGCCAATGTAAGGAACTTGACCCCAATTCCTACTAAAAAAAGAAAGGGATTGGGAAGGATTTTTGCTACCAGATCAAAATCTGTGGATGGTCAGCCTCTAAAAAAGAGACCAAGGCGCACTCCACCTTCTATTCAGTTGAGGCACACAGCCTTTGTGCCTAGAAAATCACCCAGAATGGCCACGGTTAGGCCTGATGAAACAGCCGGCCCTTCTCGGGTAAGAGCCACACACCGCACGTCAAGCACTAAACCCATTCCTAGGCCACAACATCCCTAGGCCACAACATCAATTTAATGGGTTTAGCACAGAAGTAGCACAGTTGAAGTTTGCAAAAATCAAAAACAAGAAAGTGCTGCCAGATAAGGGGTTCGATAGGAGAAGTATCGAAGAATTCAGTTTTATCCGAGACGTGATCTACAGGCATGGCAAATGCTTTGCGAGGTAAAAAACTCTTTTAATTTGTCTTTGATTAGGGAGTTTTACGCCGAAGCTTGTGTATTTAGCACCACAAAGATTAAGGTCCGGGGTGTTCGGGTGAGTATCTCGGCCAAGGCTATTAATAAGCTTTTGGGCCTTTCACCCCCGGTCGAGACTGATTTTGAGACGCTTTCTCAATCGGCTTCATTTGCCAAACTTGAGGAAATTGGTAGGGAGCTTGGGAAGGCCGGGACCGGATGGGATGTCCATAGTAACTACATGTTACGGACTTATAGGGCTTCAAACTTAAAGCCCGATGCTAATGTGTGGATGAACTTCATTAGATATTCTCTCAACCTGACTACTCATGACAGTTCTATTTCGGTTGAGAGAATCATTTTATTGTACTATGTGGTTATGGGTAAGACAATTAATGTGGGGGAAGTCGTTGAAAAGGCCATTCTCTATTGTTCCAAAAGGAGACAAGGGAAGCTGTTTTTCCCAGGCCTGATTCATAAGTTGCTTATGCAAGCTGGTGTTCCCAAGTACACTGATGACTTAGTGATTAAGGAGTGTGAAGAGAAGTGGACTATTGACATGAAGGCTGTTTCGAGGCTTAGAGAGAGGAGTGAGAGAGGAAGGGAATTACCCGGTATGACTAGGGCTATGGAAGAGCTTTTGGAACAAAGTGATAGTATGATGGACTTCCTGATAGAACAGCGGGCCGAGATGGTAGAAAGGTTAGAGAACATGCAAGCTGATTTGACGAACAGGTTGAAAGCAAGTGAAAGCAAGATGAAGAAGAGGTTTGATATGCTGAAAGAAGACTTGGAGAATGGGGTAGCTGAAAAGATCAAGAGAATGCAGAAAAAACTTAATCGGTACAAGACGGAGACCGAGAGACTGAGGACAGAGATTGCATCTGTGGCTGCCCGGAGTACACAGCCTACTCCTTTGGAGTAGGACAGGTTCTACCACCTTACTTTAGCTTCATATTTTATTTTTTTTTAGTCGGGAATAGTTTTTATAATTTATAGTCTTATTTTTACGCATTATCATTTCAATTGAGGGCGGTTAACACATGAGATCATAGCCCGAATAATTTTAGTGATGGTTTGTCATTTAATCATGGTACTTTGCTTTTGGCTAGAACTAGCAAAACTCTTTTTGGGAAAACACTTTGATCACACAATCACCATTAGGAAATGAGATAAGCCATCTTTTCTATGCTCATTTTAGCCACTTGCACCCTTTATACACAATTATACCCCATAAAACGCCAATGAGGACATTGTCATATTCAAGTTTGGGGGAGAAGTTTACATAAGGACACAAAGTCAATACAAAAGAGCAAAGCTCTAAATTGACTCCTTATCACACAAAGGGTGTTGAAAACACAACAAAAGTCCCATAGGGGCTATGTGCTTTAGAAAATGTAATGAAATGGCACAACAAAAGTTCCATAGGGGCTATGTGCAGACTCCAAGCAAAAGAGGCCAAAGTGCCCAAAAATTTGAAAATTTTATATGTGGAGTATATTTAAAAAAAAAGGCTATGAGAGAAAAGATACGCCAATGAGAGATAACCCTATAAGCCCTATTGATCCTAAAATGGTGATTGTGTTTGAACTTAACGAAGAAAAGGGAATGCTAGCCTATGGTTCACACAAATAACTTGGTTTTGAGTGACACATCCTAGATTTATGAAAGGCTATGAACATCATGATGCTATAACTCTCTTTGGGAAGGCACTTAATGCCTAGATCATGCATTTTTGTTTATATTGAGTCTTTATATTTGTCTTTTGGTTGCTTGGGGACAATCAACAGTTTAAGTTTGGGGGTATGATATGTGTTGAGAATTTAACACATACAGCGCTCTTTTTACGTCTTTTTAGTTATAATAATTTTTTTTCATTCCCACTAAAATGAGTGTTTTATGTGTTAAATGAAAAGAAATTATTATAACTAAAAAGACGTAAAATGAGTGCTTTATGTGTTAAATTCTCAACACATATCAGAAGTGTATTTCCAAAAATTATTTTAAGGTTGGAAATTTTAAGTAGGAACTTACAATTAAGATAAACATTTAGATATATGGAGATCAGATAATTCTGAAACTAAATGTATGATTAAAATACTAATATTTTGATATCATATAAAACAACAACATATTTATATAGTATTTAAAAGATAATTAGATAAATAAGTATATTTATATAGTATTTAAAACATATATGTATATATATTTCGGGTTTTCGACGGATCGGGTGGCCAAAAATAAAACCAAGACGGACCCAAATTTTCCACGAAAAGTCGGTTTTCGAATTTCGTGACATCTGGGTTTTACATAAATACCTTGTTTTTGGTTCGAGTTTGGGTTCGAATTTCAGATAATTTGTGTTTTGCACACCTCTACTTTTTACACAGTAAGAAATAGAACAAAACTATATAATTCTTTAACTTAGATAATTACATCAAAATCACATTGAGATCCATATAAATTCAAACACTTCTTTTTATTCTTTTTTTTTAACGTCAATATCCACTTGATTCTAATAAAAAATTTAATAATTACGAATTCGATCTGGTTTCAATTTCTTTTCAATTCGATTGATATCAATAATGAAAATATAACAAAAACATTATATAGATCAAATTATGTTTAACTTCTAACATGATCATACTCTCATATAAAGAAGAAGTACCTATACTTACTTGAATTGAAGTGGTGGAAGCAAACCATCCAACAGTGTTGGGTAACAGTACCGTCCCTTAGCATGTTAAATTTACATGTGTTTAAGGTATTTTATGTACCCGCATAAAACTATAGCCGAAGTTACTTAGGTTTAAACCATTAATTGTTTGGTTTTAGATTCAAATCATTAATGATTTAGGTTTAGTTTCAGATTGTTAATCGTTTTAGATTTAGCACATTTTTGTTCTTAACACATATTCTCTGTTATTTCATTTATGTAATGCAATCAAAAGTTTTGGATGTAACAGGGCTTCCAAAAAGATTGTAACGTCCATGTTGGATAATGGACAGAACAAGCGTTTAGCAGTAATAAATAATAAATATTGAACTTACGTATTAATAACGTGTTAAAGAAAAAGTCAAATAGAATGATAGTAAATCAAGAGAATGAACCTATAATTTTCATTAATCATAAACCATTTTATATATAAATGAATTATAAGTAAATAATTATGAGATTTTTTAATTTTAATCTAATTCTGATATATTTATCTGATTTTCTGATGTCATATTTTTAAACTATGACACATATATCATACAAGACCTCATTTATTATTTTACTATTTGTTTTTCCCTTTAATAATTAATATATTGGGATTTTTTGAACTTTTAATGCTTTATATTTTTAAATTAATATTTTTATCATCGGTGTTACCAAATCATATCCATGAGCGGATTTTTGAATTTCAAAAAAAAGATAAAATAAAAGTTTTCTTCAACTTGCAGCACATGAATCCAAATTGGCTGCGTTGGAGCATCGACATGTCAAACAAGACGACTCCCCTGGATTTCATCCTCCAAACGGCGGAAAGATTCCTCTAGTCAAACCACTTCCACCAGCCGATCACCAAAAACACCCAATAATCTCAACTTTCCCAGTTTTCAAGAACCAGATTCAATCCTTCATCTATGATCTTGATCCAACCCCATCTTCTACTGCTGCTTCTGGTCGCCGGAGCAGTAGGATCATCCACCGTTTCTGCAGATGATGATGGTTTCTCCTTTATTCTCCATGATTCAGAGCTCGATGGTGTACGAGAAATCCAGCCAGATGGTCGGGTTGTTCACGATAACGAAACCCAGATGTTCGGTGTCGGTCATACCTTCTATTCTCGTCCCTTCCGATTCAAAAACTCCACCGCCGGTGACGCTTTCTCGTTCTCAACTTCTTTTGTCTTCGGAATCGTGCCGGAGAATCCTCTCTACACCTTCCACGGGATGACTTTTGCGATTGCTCCGTCGAAACAAGTGATTGACGCCGCATCTTCTCAGCATCTTGGCCTATTCAACCGGACCAACGACGGAAACCTCTCAAATCACGTCGTCGCCATCGAACTCGACACTTTCAGAAACTTAGAACTTGGGGACATGGATGGAAATCATGTGGGTCTCGATATAAACAGTGTGGTATCGGTTTTTGCTGTTTCAGCCGGCTATTACAAAGACGATGATGGGAAGTTTGAGAACATAACTCTATCGAGTTCGCAAGAAATTCGAGCTTGGGTAGATTACGATGGCGTCAAAAAGCAACTAGATATAACTTTAGCTCCTTTGAAACTCAAAAAGCCTCTTCGACCTCTCGTTTCTTGGAAAAAAGATCTGTCGCCATTTTTATTGCAAGATATGTATGTTGGGTTCACTTCAGCAACTGGGGTTCTTAAACAAACGTTTTATGTCGTCGGTTGGAGCTTTCAGATGAATGGTGAAGCTCAAGAACTCGATATCTCCAAGATCCCACCTTTACCTCTTAAGAAAAAATCGACCAGAAAGAAACGATTGATTCTGGCAATTGGGCTATCTGTAGGTGGATTACTGGTTCTATCATCGGTCACCATTGTCACCATAGTTATGTTTCAAATAAGAAAACGAAAATACGCAGAAGTTCTTGAAGGTTGGGAGGTTCAATATGGACCTCATAGGTTTTCCTACAAGGATTTGTATACAGCCACGAAAGGGTTTAAAGAAAGTGAGCTTCTTGGAAAAGGAGGGTTTGGCCAGGTTTATAAAGGAACTTTGCCGGAGTTAGGAGCTCCGGTGGCCGTGAAGAAAATCTGGCATGAATCCGGTCAAGGAATGAAGGAATTCGTGGCGGAGATCGCCACTATCGGCCGGCTGCGCCACCCAAATTTGGTTAGACTTCTTGGATATTGCCGGCGAAAAGGCGAACTGTTTCTTGTATACGATTACATGCCGAATGCTAGTTTAGATAACTTTTTATTCAATTCGAAACCCGAATCGAGTTTAACTTGGAATCAACGGCTTAAAATCATCATAGATGTAGCAGAAGCATTAGCATATTTGCACGAAGAATGGGTGGAAGTTATAATCCATCGGGATATCAAAGCCAGCAATGTGTTATTAGACGCTGAATTGAACGCAAAGTTGGGCGATTTCGGGCTCGCAAGATTCGGCAACAACGGAAACGATGCGAAAACCACCCATTTGGCCGGAACTTTGGGATACATAGCACCTGAGCTCGCTAGAAAAGGGAAAGCAACCACCGCCACCGACATTTTCGCTTTCGGTGCTTTTTGTTTGGAGGTGGCTTGTGGGCGGCGGCCGGTGGAGCTGCAAGGGCGGCAGGATGCGGTGATCTTGGTGGAGTGGGTGATGGAGTGTTGGTTTAAGGAGGAGCTTTTGAAAGCTGTTGATCCCAAACTGATGAACGAGTTCGATAGAGAAGAAATGGAGATGGTTTTGAAGGTGGGTTTGCTTTGTTCGCACAGTGTGCCGGCGGTGAGGCCAAGCATGTCGCAAATCTTGCAGTTTCTCAGAAAAAGTTCACCGTTGCCGAAGGATTTGGACAGTGTGTTGGAGATCAGAGAGGATTATTCTGGTCGACTTGGGGATGCGTCCACGAGTACTTACTTCTCGCAAATCCAGTACGCGACGGCATCGGCGCCGATCACGGAAGCATTCATCTCCGTCGGCCGTTGATCGGAGCAAAGATGGAATGCACCGCTGGAACAAAAATGTATTTAATTCATTTCTTTATTTCTTTCATACTTTTTAAACCATTGGTAATGTGATGATGGTATAAATTAGCATATAAAAAATACGAGAAATTAAAATCCAAAAGGTTAAAATACAAGGTGAAATAAAAATCTTTTTGTGATTACGGAGGTTCAAATACAGTGATTTCGGACTATCTGCAAAGCAACTGGTCGTCCTGAGATTAGTCGGCTCGCATAGCGGGTTAAATATCCAGGTTAATAAAAAAAACAAAAAAATAGCTACGAATACAATACCAAAAAAAATGTTTTAACAAGGGATGTTTTGGTGTAAAAGCGTTAAATTAACAAAAGACAGGCATTTGATAGCGTGGGGTGGGGAAACCATGGAAGACGATTGGTGACGAGAAAGGGAAGTTGTGCAGGTGGGTTAGTGTGTTTGGTTTGAGACAATTAGATCAATTCAACCCAACTACTTTGATTTAAAAAATCGTAACTCATTAAACGTTTTTTAAATTTAGAACCCATCACATGTTGGTTTGGGTTGGTATTGTGTAATGTACGTTAAACAAAGATGATTGTATTACAGTTTCAAACCAAAAAAAATCAAATTTTAGTGGTAGATACTCAACCGTTCAAAAATATAAATGATGCTATCAATCAACAACGACGATCTTTGACTTCTCTAACTCCGATTAGTAGGAACCAACTACCTAATCGGTTGATATATTAGATTGTTAATGAATTGCCACTAAGGTGGTGTTTGCGATTGCTTATTTGAAACGACTTATGATTTTTCTACAAAAGCATTTATCAACTTATTATAAGTCAGAATGGTTTAACTTCTTCAAAAACTCCTTATTACCGGTTTGGTACCGGTATAAGTTGTTTATCCAAACACTCAAAAGTACTTATTACCGGTGTCACACCGGAACAAGTCAATAAATTATTTTTATAAGCAATCCCAAACACCTATATTGATTGATTATATTATGTAAACCAAATAACATTTTTCATTCTATTTTCATTCCTTTATATGAAACAAACGACATCAATTATTATTGTTTTCATTAATTACCTTTTTAACACCTTTGACCAGACGCCCTCTTAATAATCAATAACATGAACATTTTAATAATTAAAATCGTCTTAGATTTGGCATATTGGTTCGTTTGACATGAACCTAACTAATGACTGGCCCTATTCTTATCCGGTTTGCATATTTCACAAATCAGTTAATCCTTGGATTAAATTAGGTTGAGTTAATCTGTCTACTTTTTAGATTAAATGGGATGAGTTGATCGTTCGATCAGTTTTTTACACTCGTAGGTATGGTTGAGAAAGACATCGAACATTAGTCTACTTGCCATTTCGGTGTCAATGATGAGCCACCATCAACAGGGTTGGAGACATGTATTCGATCATATTTTTTAATCAAGGGTTTATATTTTTTTTTATTGTAGTTTGTTTCAAAATAAATGTCATTTATAAAAGTAAGTGCTCATTTTTTTTATTCCATCATTAATAATGAGATGAATAAGTTTGGTACCGTCTCTATTATTAAATTGACATCCTGCTACCCACAAAGTATAATAAATACATATTCCTAAAATTGTATATCTTTTTCATGGATGTAAATTTCTTCCGAGTTAAATAAAAATGGGAGATTGTTTATACTAGATGCATTTATCGTATCCCTATGTATAATTTCATTTGGTGTGTTGAAACATCGATATGTGTAAGTTATATGAAACAAGCACGGATTCCGACACCAGTTTGATAAAGCCTTTGAAGTTTATTTTTGCATCATCTCAGTTGGTTTCCTTTAGTTGAACTCAATCAATAAACGCTTTATCGAGTGATCAACTCATTTACATGAGTTAATCCTTGCAATGACCTTCCTCGAAACTCGTTTTGCAAAAATGACCTCCGTCTTTTTATGTAAATGAGTGAACTACCCATAACATCGTAATCTACCAAAACCCTCATACCCCTCGTGTTCACATTTTGAAATTCTCATTCGTCCCGCCGAACTCCTTCCTCTTCCCTAGAAATTCGTTTCCCCTTTCCCTTCTTCATTATCTGCAAACTTGAAGTTCGTTTTTCTTCTTTCTAGTTTAGCTTCCATCTCCTGCATTTATACAAATTTAACACCCTACCTTTTATATTAGCAGATCTACCAAAATTCCGGCATGACCTATTCATAAATTCGCCATTTTGCTTGTTTTATATCTTGTAAATTATATTTACATATAGACTAAACAAATCCCGAAACCAAAAGCATGCATTAGCACCTGGTACGTTAACTTCTATTTAAAAACATATGATAATTATGCTGATGTTAAATCTACCGGATACTATTTTGCACTAATCTTCGGTCATAAGCGAAGTCAAAGACACTATATCAACCAAATCAGCCTTCACGCATGGTGAATTCAAGAGTTTATATAATAAAACATTACACCAAAAAATAAAAACTGGTCCATGAATTCCAAAAAAATGCATAAATTGTCAACATAGGTAATATGCAACCCAACACACTACTTTAATTGAATCAATAAAAGATGTGGTTATAAATATCAAAATGAGGTAGCAACCATTGTACGACATGAGGGAGACCCACAACAAGAACCGGAATCAGTGAAGGAGTACTACTCAGCAGTCCACTTATTCGTTAGGCTAATTTCGGCATAATCACCATGTGCAGGTTGTGTCTTATAGACACTATGTTAATCAGCCGAGTATCTGGCACAATAAGTGCACGGTACTCCATAAACACCAAATAGGAGCAATCCATCTAATTGTATAGGGAGCAACCCTACTACAAACATAACAAAGAGGGCAGATTAGAATCTAGATACACCACGTTGGTGAGCAAACAAATAGCTCACAATACCTCATTTATATAAAGTTTATTTCACCAAAGTTCAAATCAAGCATTTTTCAACTACATATTCAAACATAAGCGAAATGAATCAGTTATGTAAAATACATACATTTGATGTGTCCCAGTTTGAAGACTACTCGAACTCACCTTAACCCGTTTGGTTTAGGTCCGGTTTGAGAACAGTTTGCGCACACGCCTCGTTACCTATGCGATTCACATATGGTCCTCTTATTAACACAACCAACCTTATCAAGGTTGTAAATAATTTTTCTATCTTTTTGTACCATCAAGAACCATTCCAAATGTACGTAATATAACAATCTTCATACGAATTTGTTAAGAGTAAATTGTTTTTCCCGTCTAAAAGCATATTTGTTCTATACCAACCCATTTTTGACCGTTTTAGAGTAAGAATTACATCAAATGTTCTCTTAGTGATTTATACTAGACACCTTTCTAGAAAGATATTATAGGCTTAAATCTGAGTTACAAGTGATCTGTTATGATTTTTACAACTTCCAGCAACAACCAAAATAATAATTTCGACCGAATCAGTTTAAGGTTGAAGTTATACTTTCAAAACTCATCACCGCACATATTTATCTATTTCAATCTATGCAGTTCCAACATCAAACTCACAATTAAAGAAATTCATAGTTAGACTTTACCCAAATTTATCTCAAAACATCGAATAAACGCAAAGTACGCATAAAATTGACATAGAGTTTGTCCATAATCCAACTTACCATCAAAATACTCATTTTCTCAATAACAAACTACTATTGGAGTGAAGTCTTCAAACATGTTTATTGGACTTTTATAAACATGTTTAGATAGTTACCGGGTAAATTGTTGCATACGATACCGTTTTGATAGACTAAAATCTTATCCGGTAAGTAAGTGACAATGTTAATTTTTGTTGGTAAACACTTACTTAACGGGTAAGTGTTTGGTAAACAACCCCTAAGTCCCTCTAATTTCAACCTTTAATTTGTATAGAACCATCCAATTTGATTTCATAACAAAACAATTTGATTTTTAGAAAAAGTCAACTGTTGTATATTCAAACTTGATTCTCCTTTCAAAAGCATGTTTGGATTAAAAGAAATGAAGTTAAATTCATCACATAACATCTGAATGATCGCGTAAACTAGTTATATTAGAAACTACCATTTATCGATTTAATAGAAATAAATAATATAATATATATATATATCTATATATATATATATGGGGGACGGGGCGGGGAGTGTGATACCCGTCCCCGTCCCCATCTCCGGTTTGAGCCAAACGGGGATTCCCCGTCCCCGAGACCCGGTTTAACGGGGAATCCCCGTCTCCGACCGGAACGGGTGGACCGGGTTCCCCGACGGGTCGGGGCCAATTCCCATGCCTAATATAATCTTTCTTTAGAGATTTTCAACTTTTGATGGAGAACCTGTTGGAGATCCTCTAACCCATAAGGTGCGGGTCCTACCCTTAGGCAGTGGTGGGCCCGAAACTTTTCTGAACGGGTACACCTTTAAAGGTCAATGAAAGGCCAATAGAGTCGCGGTTTAACCTAGAGAAAAGTCAACATGGTTTGACCCGAGGAAAATTCAATTGTGTCAATTTGATACAATACATTTTTACAAATGAAATCGATCTTGACTTTTTGAGCAAGACGCAACACTACATCTTATACTCGGCGATTTCTCGGACGAATTCCACCTTTACAGGGGATTTTTTTGGTTGATTTCGTAACAGTCAACAAATATAACAATAAAATATTAATTTATAAATGTCTTACATAAATATGTTTGATGACATCATGGATAGAAAAATAATAACCGATTTTTAAGTATTATGATCGAACGGGTGCCCATGCATCCATACTCTGTGAGTAGGTCCGCCCCTGCCCTTAGGGGTAATATGGCCATTTTAGCAGTTTTGTCATGTCCTGTCCTAGTCGTACAAAACATAGGATTACGTAAACCAAATAGCCTTTAAGAGTGTTCATGGTACGCTTTAGTGTGGTTTAACGCCAAACCACAAAGAACACCACATATGTGGTTTGAACATTTTTCTCAAACCACAAACCACACTGCATATGTCTCAAACAACATAAAATCGAACCGTATTATGCAGTGCGGTGCAAATTATGTGGTTTGTACCTAACACGTTTCAATTCAATACTACAAAAGCATAACTTCATATAAATTCGACGAATAACGCGTCCATACAATAAGAAACTTCTAATACATCTCAAATACATAATTAAAAATAGTCCAAAACAAGTTAAAAAGTTATATATGTAACGCCCCAACCCACACATTGCATGTAACATATATTCCATATCAAAGAAATACATATTCATATACATCTGGGCCCCTTAGTACAAGAATACTATCATGACCAAATACAAGGTCCAAAAATTCAAAATACATATCTTGTACTAATCAACAACACTTTGCATCAAAAGTAATTCCTCATCCTTAACGCATATAAGAAAAGCATTAAATCTTTTCTTTTCCTTTACCTTCTACAATTCCTGCAACACACATTTTAAAATCACAAAACGAGGGTTAGACTGTAAAGTCTAGTGAGTTACCCTAATCATGTAATTGCAGGGTGAAGGATCACCAAAACCTTTATAAAACAGTTATTCACATATATCACAAATATATGAATACGTAAGAGGATAATATCAAATCCTTTTCCACTTTCAAGCTAACCACGTAGCTAAATAAATTCCATACATTTGAACCAATCGGGTTCCATTTAATATCATTTTAAACCTTTTCTTTATCAAATAAGGTTTAAACAAAGATTCAGGCCAAACCTGACGTTTCCTTCTCAATAACATCCAGACTATGATTTCCAATAAGAACCTTGATCCTAAATCCTTAAATCACAAAGAAATAAAGATTCCAAACCACGATAGTCTTAAGGGATATAATAGAAAGTGTTATATAATGCCACACATAGATAATGCCACCCTTATATCCAATGTACACCTCTCCTTGATATGTCACCCTTATAACAAATGGACACCTCTCCTTGATATGTCACCCTTATAACAAATGNCACCCTTATAACAAATGGACACCTCTCCTTGATATGTCACCCTTATAACAAATGAACATCTCTCCTTGATATGCCACCCTTATCACTTCATCAAAACATTTGTAAGATAATTCTGAATAGACCGCAGTCATTGGAATTATTATCAGTTTGAAAATATTTAAATCAAAACTTCCTTTTTATGATAAAAATAATAATTTCTTTTAAAACTCAAGACATCCTCACAAATCTGGTCAACAAGTCCGGTCAACAACCATCCGGATTAAAACACTTGGACTAAAGTCCACTTTGTCCGGATATCAAGTCCGGTCAACACCTTACACATTCATTGAACGGTTTAACACTTAGAATATAATTCATATTGAACGGATAACAAATCCGGACAACAAATCGTTCAATACTTGCCCGGTTTAAGACTAAACCGCTCACCACTCAACCGGTTTACCAATCTCCGGTCAACAAACCGCTCAAGGTTTGTCCGGTTTAAACTAATCCGGTCACTAAACCGTTTAAAGCTTGTCCAGTTTAAAACAGTCCTGACAATAAACCTTTCAAGGCTTGTCCGGTTTAAGACAATCCGGACAACAAACCGCATAAGGCTTGTTCGGTTTCAATGCTTATCCAGTCACTCTTTGTCCGGATAACACTTAGGCATAAAAATTCATGGTTTCTTTCCAAATAAGAACAATACAAATATGCAACTAAAACTAGTAGAATCTTTATACAAAAATGTTTAGAAACCACTCACCTTCTAAAGCTTTTGACACCAAGATGCTAGAAATCAACCATTTTAAAACTTTGACACTTGCAAATCAGCTTGAAATCTCTTCCTTATAGCAACCGAACAATACTCCTCTCAAAACCTCTCAACTTTCTTCAAATGGCAGGGAAAACCAAATGAAGAGTATAAGCCTCTTTTATACTTTCCCAAAATGGAAAGGCGGTTTACTCCCAGGCCACGTGTATGCACACACACACACACACCACATAAATACTTATGCACATAACCACTAACACATACATACCATTTTCATGCATACATCCATGCATATGTCATGCAAATATATATATATATATATATATATATATATATATATTTATCCAATTAATGCACACATCCACATACCAGCATATATCAAAATATCATGCTATCACGTAATCATTTAATCAAATAATCACGTATTAAATACCTTAGGTAATGATCAGGATCTGGTTATCACAATATAATTAACTGAAATACATTTTGAAAGTTAACGTCAAAATAAACTCGACAAAAACATATGACATGTTCATACATTGTTTTTCATATTGAGTTCTGACATCCTATAAGTTACTTAAAGAATATATTAAATATTTTCTAATTGATTAATGATAACGTACATATACACATATACACATGCAAAAAAATATATGAAATATGGGGGCAGTAACGTCAGAAATACGATTTGACACTTCAAAGCAACAAACAGTACCACAATCTACGGTTTGATGATATGCAAACACAAATTACACTACGTCTAAACCGCACAATACAATACGTGTAGACGGTTTATATGGTTTAGACAAACGTCCTTAAATCATCTATAAACAGAACATAAAGTTAGAAAGGAAAACGTTACATACCATTGAGGGTCATATTAGTGGCGGGTAATATGATCCCTTAGCTTCCTTCTTGACCGCTTAAGAGTATCTCCCATATATTCTTTAAAACGAAGAATATAGAGATTTTGAACTAAAATTGAGCTTCATCAGATTCCATAAAGCATCTCTAAAATGGAGAAAGTAGGAAATAGAACGTTTTTTTTCTTTCCATACGGAGATTACCTAAAAAATGATTACCATTTGAGAGAAATAATTTTTTAATATATTTCTATCGATACAAAACTATGAAAACAATTATTTTGAGATATAAATAATATTTTAATATTATAATCAACGTTGGATTCTTTAGAAAGGGAATCTGTCGGAGATTATGTAATCTTTCTGTAGAAGTTTCAACTTTTTGATGGAGAACCTGTTGGAGATCCTCTAACCCATAAGGTGCGGGTCCTACCCTTAGGCAGTGGTGGACCCAGAAAGTTTTCTGAACGGGTGCACCTTTGGAGAACCTCTAACCCATGAAGTCGCGGTTTAACCCAGAGAAAAGTCAACACGGTTTGACCCGAGGAAAATTCAATTATGTCAATTTGATACAATACATTTTTACAAATGAAATCGATCTTGACTTTTTGAGCAAGACACAACACTACATCTTATACTCGGCGATTTCTCGGCCGAATTCCACCTTTACGGGGGATTTTTTTGGTTGATTTTGTAACGGGCAACAAATGTAACAACAAAATATTAATTTATAAATATCTTACATAAATATGTTTGATGACATCATGGACTGAGAAATAATAACCGATTTTTAAGTATTATGATCAAACGGGTGCCCGTGCATCCCTACTCTGTGAGTAGGTCCACCCATGCCCTTAGAGGTAATATGGTTATTTTAGCAGTTTTGTCATATCCTGTCCTAATCGTACCAAACATAGGACATATAGTTAGTTATGTTCTATCCCTTCTTGTTTTGTCCAGTCCGGTCTGCATACCAAACATTATCTAAGGAATCAAACATAGTATAAGGGTCTAGCAGAATTTATGCCAAAGTAGATGGGGGTGTAGTTGTACTTCCCGCAACTACATCTTGCAATTTGTCTTTCCGATTGGCGACATTTTTACTTGAAGCCCCTTTTGATCTCCTTAGGCATATGCAGTAAATTTCAGTCGTCGGGGTTATATGCACGTCTCACAGTGCAGATATAATTCGTAGATACAGCAAACATGCCTGTGAGAATGGTGGAGTCTCCAGCACCTTCTAATTCTTCGGGTAATTTTTCACTAGTTCTTGTTGTTTTCTTGTCTGTCAAATGGTTTCACTGATGTGTCAGAATTACGCTTTTGTTCGTATAGGGAAATCAGTGTTGTTAGAATTTCAATCTGTTTGAACTCCTGTTACTATATACTGTTTACTGTTTGGTTGGTTTCATGAATCGAAGGAAGAATGGAATGTGCAAATATACGATGTCGATGGTAGTGTCGCTTTGAAGGCTGAAAAAATGTATGAATAGTTCCCTTTAGCGTGTAATTGGACAAGCTTCTCATGTTTACAGCTTAAAAGGTAGCAGGTTGACATCATTGCAAATTTTGGAGAATGGACTCTGATTATAGGTGAAAATAGGAACAACGCATTGATAACAGCTTGAAGAATTTAGAATTAGGGAATCCCAGTGAATCTTTTACACTGCCCTCACTATTTCCCAACAATCTATCAAAATAACCCTTCCATTGTCCTCAAATCTTATAATCGTTCATCCATTTGATGTGACTTATCTCTCGAGTTTTTGCTTCCCTTGTCTTAGCCATACTTATATAATATATACATCAATTCCCCATTTTCTTGTTCTTAGTTTCTTGTGCAACTACTCATATATTTTGCTTGTAACTTCTCTAACGCTCTTTTAACTTTCTCATTTTTCAATTTTATGCCAGCCTGTGTTGTGAAAGTATAGGGAACATAAAAAAACCTAATCTAGCCAATTGGGTGGTAAGTAAGAATGTAAGATATGCTATAGGTTAAGCAGTTGACAATATACAAAAAACTAGGGATAGACACAAAGGAAATGATAGTATGCAAGTAGCTACAAATGAAAGCTAGGAAGATAAGTTGCATGTCTCGCATTAAAGATGTGATCTGATGGCTTCTACAGGGGGTTATTTTGACAAGTTGTATGATAAAAAATGAGATGCAAGGATAGGGGAACTTGATGATTCTTTTGATGATACTAGTGAAAGTTTTGTATCTAGAGTCATGATGTTGGTGGTGAATAAAGCACTAGCAATTATAAACGGATGTAGGCCTGTAGGATCACGAAGTACTCTTGTATAGGTTTGTAAAGCCCTTAAAAAGGTTTGGTATAGTAAATGGTTAATAGGTAAAAGTAGTGCCATCTTGAATACAATGAGGGTTCATGCTAAACATAGCAAGAGTACCATGACCCCTCTATAAGAGCAAAGGAGACATCAAATTGTATGATTTATTAAGGGATTAAGCCTTTGAATGGTGTAATAGATTTATGTAGTGAGTTATTGACCATATGTTAAAAGGTTAAAAGGTATTAAAGATCATGTATGATATAGGTGATAATAAAGCTCCTGGTACAAATGGATTTGGTTCAAAGTTTTTTAAATTCACATGGGTAACAACGGGTATGCACGTTTGTAAAGCAGTAAAATATTTTTCAACTGTGGGAGGATTCTGTTGGGGTAAATCACACTTTGATAGCTCTTGTTCCTAATGCTCCACCCCCTCTGTGGTAGTAGACTGCCAACCAATTTCTTGTTGCAATGTGGTCCTAAAACCTATCAGCAAGATCATTTCTGACCAAATTAAAGAAAGTTTGAATAAGCTTGTGGGGGATAACCAATCAACTTTGTTATCGGGTCAGCGCATAACTGACATCTTTACGGCTCAAGAGTTCATGAATGGTTATCACCTTGGTTGGCATATGGTTTGATGTGCTCTAAAGATCGATATTTAGAAAGCTTACGATACGATCAATTGGAACTTTTTACGGGTTATATTATGTGGTTTTGGGTTTCCAGATCGTATGGTTGATTGGATTATGGAAGCAGTAACTATAGCCTCGTTCTTGGTGGTTATTCAATCAGTGCTTGGCCCTCTTCAAGTCTACTGGGCGAGTGTCTTGAAATTCCTGGTAAGAACTGCCAAAGAAATTGAAAAACTTATTCAAGGTTTCTTGTGGTGCCAAGGCAAGCTACAACGAGGTAAAGCTAATGTTGCTTGGAAGAAAGTTTGCATTCCTCGTGAGCATGGAGGTTTAGGTCTCAAAGGAATTTCCCGCTGGAATGTTGCTTTGTTGTCATCCCACATTTGGAATATACTATCCAATAAGAACACCCTATGCTGGGATGGATTCATTCGTAATGGCTTCAACATTGACATCTATAGAACATTCCGTTTGCTAGGGATACCTCGAGCTTTTGGCGCAACTTGCTCCGTATCGAGAGTGGTTTCGACCATACCTCATTAATGTGCTTGGTGATGGAAAAACACGTCTGCATATAGGCCCGTTGTGTAATATGGTATCCATGCGAATGATCCACCGAGACAGATTTCACCTCAATAATAAAGTCAACGACATTGTGGAAGATTGGGGCTGCAAATGGCCTCAAGTTTGGGGTGAGATGGATGAGGAGATTCGTAATATTCCAGCTCCTGTTCTCCATGAAGGCACCGATGATAGGGTTCTACTTAGAAACAATAATAGTGGTCTAGAGCCGTTTGCGGTAGGGGGATTTGGAGTGTATTCGGGACATTGGCGATGTTGTTTCTTGGTATAAGTTGGTATGGCATAAACACCGAATACTTATGCATGCTATGACTCTTTGGCTTGCCTAGGGAGATCATCCCTTGACACGAACCACGATGTTAGCATGGTAGTAGACTGTCGGGCTTATATGCCCACTTTATCGAATGACTGAGGATTTTTTTTCCAATATCGTACTCAAAGAAGGTGTGGGGTGGGATGAAAACCATGCTGGGAGATGCCATTATTCCGGACAATTGAGATGTAAAGGTTTTATACAAAGAGGGTGTAGGGTGCTTTCTACATCACCACTTGGGGCATGTCCCTTTGGCAAATATCTTGAGATGTAAAGGTTTTATACAAAGCTAGAATGGAATGACCTTGGAACAGCTTTAACTATGTTGATAGAGAAGCAGAAGGAGCACAACATGTTCTAGAAAGAAATTCTTGGATGGATATCTCCTATTCTGTGGGATGAAGAGACATTAATTCGAATGTTCGTGATAAGATAAAAGTAAGTGTAATGAAAAGGCATACAACTTCAAAATCTTTTGTGATAAAAAAGTTCAAAGGTAATTATCATAGGACTAGTGTTACGTAATCAGGATGATCACGTAATGATTTGATTGGAATGAAAAGGTAAAACAGAGGATTACAATGAAGAAATGAAGATAGACTCAATCCAACAATGGATTCTAGGGATGACTTCCCTCCTCTAAGCTAATGCTCAAAGTCTAACATAATACGTATTATTTGGCATGACCCCTCACACATGCCAAACACTCCTTATTTAATAACCAAAACACAACTAATTCTCTTTATGGGCTTTGGACCTTTTAGCATACACTTTCCAAACAGTGGGCTGATTATTACTAGTTGGGCCAAGACTAGTTGGTGTTGTATCATTTGGTACCCCTTTAAAAATGGTCTTGTCCTTAAGACCAGCATCTGGAAACTAACTCAGAATAGTCATAGCATTTCCCACGTTGCTTCATCTAGCGAACGCCTCCGCCATTGGATAAGCCCCCATCATAACAGGAACGAGTCACTCGAATCGCCTTGGGAACTAACTGATCTACGACATCTAAATCAAATTCAGAAGGTGGTGAAGGTTCTATATTAACGTTTTGCACAACCTTTTTTAGCAGAGATACATGGAACACTGGATGGATTTTTGACTCTGAGGGTAATTTAAGACGATATGCAACTGGACCAATCTTTTCAAAGATCTCGAATGGTCCAAAGAAACAAGCAACCAACTTCTGGTTGATGCACTGAACCACCGACAACTGACGGTAAGGACATACTTAACATAAACAAGCTGTCCTACCCGGAAGTCGACATCACGACGCCTCTTATCAGCCTGCGTTTTCATCGCCGACTGAGCTTGTGCCAAATGAAGTTTCAATTGCTTAAGAGCTTCATCACTTCGACCTGTACTTCCCCCTGTATGAATTGAGAGATGTTAGGCGGTTTACCCCATAAACCACTTCAAACGGTGAGACACCTGTAGATTCATGAAAAGTGGAGTTGTACCAAAACTCAGCCCATGGAACCCATAGGGACCAAGAACGGGGCTAATCGATTGCAAAACATCGAAGATAGGATTCTAAACAACGGTTGATCACTTCCGTTTGGCCATCCGACTGCGGGTGGTAAGAGGAGCTCATGTAGAGACGAGTGCCTTGTAGACGAAAAAGTTCCTGCCAAAATTGACTAATGAGGGTCACGATCACTTACAATTGATTTAGGAATGCCATGAAGCCGGACGATTTCTCGAACAAAAATGTTGGCGATATTACGAGCCGTGTAAGGATGTCGAAGCAAAATAAAGTGACTATACTTAGATAGTCGATCAACCACCACAAGCAAGGCGTCAAAATCCTTCGATTTAGGTAACCCGAGGATGAAATCCATAGACAAATGCTCCCAAATTGCCTCTGGAATGTCTAAYRGCTGTAATAAGCYTRSTGGAGTAAGCGAACTCGATTTGCAACGTTGGCATATGTCACACGCTTGCACAAACCGTTGGACCGTAGAACTCATACCTGTCAAGTATGGGTTTGCCGCAAGTCGACGATAAGTACGGAGGTAACGCGAATGTCCCCCGGTGGCCGACTATGGAACCCCAACAAAAATGCGGGAATAAACTTAGAATTCCGAGGAATGACTAATCGATTCCTGTGATACAAAATACTCGCTTGAACTGTGTAACCTGGAATCGAACCGGGGTTCTGTTGACATTACTGAATCAATTCTTGTAGTGTCGAGTCAGCTTTTGCTTCCTCTAATAACCCAACCCCGTGAACCCAAACCGATTGGTAAACCATCGTTCGAATTTCCACTTTGTCATCTCGTCTTGATAAAGCATCAACTACTTTATTCTCTCGACCTGCCTTATAGCGGATTTCAAAATGATAACCCAACAATTTAGCGACCCAATTTTGTTGATTAGGAGTAGTGGTGCGTTGGTGAAGCAAGTGTTTAAGCTTTTATGATTTGTATACACCATAAAGGTAGAGCAACAGGTAACTTCTCCAGTGTTGCACCGCAAGAGCTAGAGCCATAATTTCACGTTCCTATGCCGACTTGGCTAAATTTCGATCACTCAAGGCTTTACTTAAAAACGCTATCGGACATTGCTGTTGCATCAAAATTGCTCCTATTCCTCGACCAGAAGCATCACACTCTACCACAAAGGGTTCTGAAAAATCAGGTTAAGCGAGAACGGGAGCCGAAGTGACCGCTGTTTTGAGGAGATGGAACGCCGTTGCGCCTCGACGTTCCAAAGGAAATTGTCCTTCTTTGTCAATCTGTTAGAGGCTTGGCAATCGACCCGTAAGTACGAACGAATTTCCGGTAATTCCCTGTTAACCCGAGAAATCCACGTGTTCCCTTCACTTGCTTGGGAGTAGGCCACTCCAAAACCGCCTAGACCTTTGGTTCCATTGAGACCCCATTGCCATTGATTATGTGACCCAAATATTCTACTAACGTCTGACAAAACGAGCATTTTTTCTGGTTAACCACAAACTGATGGGAGACCAAGGTGGCTAAAGTGGTCGATAGATCACGTAAATGTTGTTCCCATGTGGGGATGTATACGGCAGGTCGGACCAATGTTACGTAATCAGGATGAGCACGTAATGATTTGATTGAAATGAAAAGGTAAAACAGAGGATTACAATGAAGAAATGAAGACCGACTCAATCCAACAATGGATTCCAGGGATGACTTCCCTCCTCTAAGCTAATGCTTAAAGTCTAACAGAATATGTATTATTTAGCATGACCCCCACATATGCCAGACACTCCGTATTTAATAACCAAAACACAACTAATTCTCTTTATGGGCTTTGGGCCTTCTAGCATACACTTTCCAAACAGTGGGCTGATTATTACTAGTTGGGCTAAGACTAGTTGGTGTTGTATCAACTAGAAACCGAGTACTATAGGATATGGTAAAATGTTAGATCACCAAATAGCAAAATGTATAAAAACTACTTACGCCTGGAGATGAACATGTTTTTAAATTCATTGAGGGCATTAGGCATTTTCGCAAAGCTACTCTTCTTTAATAGTTATATTTTACATGGAGCATACAATGCTATTAAGAGTACGGTGGAAAGTTTAGTCAATATTGATGGTTAAAATGCATTGCAAGTAGGAGTACTTTCACATAAACAATGGGCCTTTATTTGTCAAGGGATGTGCTTGAGAGGGTTTAAGATATTATAGATAAGAAGTAGACAAAGAAGGTTACTACAAATGGTATATGTGACAACATTAGCTTGATTCTTATGCTTGATAGATCTAGACTTTAGCGTTAATACAACTATGATGTACCATTAAGATTGGTAATAGAGGGGATTAGCAAACAACAATTATACAGATAAAGAGGAAGGGTAATGCTTAGCCACACACAGGATGAGTCATGGAAATTAAGCCCATATACAAAAGAATCATACACTGACTTATTTTTTTGTCATCCCAAATGCAATATAACCCGGAAATAACATCCTTACCAACTACAAAATACAATGAGAAAACGAAAAATATAAAAGCCAATACTTTCTTATAGTACACAAAAAGGTCCTAGAGATCTTGTTACCACAAATATTAGATTATAATGGTCCTGCTATTCCTTGTAGTTTTTGAACAACTTATGTAATAGATGCAAAATTATTTTCTTATAGTAGTACATAAAAACACAATGACACGCAGTTGGAGGAGGCTAAACGGAACATAAAATATATCTGAATTGGCGAAGCTTAATAGAATGTATAAAGAGGTGAACCACCTATGGTTGGAGACATGAATGACGTTCCATGACTCCTATCTAAGGCCAACTCTTTTAGCATATTCGGTTCACTTAGATAGTTAGATCTATTCACTACTTCCCCATGTCAATACTTGGAGACCTTTATCTCTCTTGAAAACATACTCTTGGTACAAGTATCCACTTCTAGAAGTCGCCCTCCAAAGGTGTATGCTGGAGATGAACAAATCTCTTCAAATGGTATTCCCTCATTGTGTAGCCACGCATCTGCCTCAACATTTTTATTTCTACTAACCTCATGATTTTCAGCTATTTGGAACAATGACTGGAAAGTTTTGCGTACTTCCATGGCGAACTCGTGATGGACGCAACTGAAGCTTAAGAAGATGAAACCTAGGAATTCAAAGGAACAAATTTGCATCCTTAAAAGAGTGACGATGTTGGATATTTGAGTAGTGATGAGCCAAAGAACAAGTACAAGGCAGATACAGCTGAATTCTAGACTAAAACAAGATTGAATACATTGTCTTTGTGTTCCTCAAAAAGCTTGTTTTAAGCACATCATCGATTCTTATGTTCTTTTGTTCCTGAAAAGTGCGCTTATCCATGTGCAACATAATACATATCTAAAAGTTTAGGAAAACAAGGGGATAAGGCTCCTTTTTTCTTCTCTTTTTTCTAGTGAATGGGAGCATCACATTATCTATTAGCTTTGGTTAATAGCATCTAAAATTTCTCGCGTTTGCCATCAGAAAAAGAAGCGGATAAGGCTCTCTTTTTTCTTTTCTTTTTCCCAATGAAGGGGAGCATGATGGGGATGGTAGGGGCATAGTGGCAATTCTAGAGGATGCTACTCAGCCCTCTCATGGAATTTACAGCAATTTCCAGTTCTTATAGCATACTCTTTTTTGCTTCTTTCTAAATTGATCTATTTTCTCATTTGTCATCACTCATTGCTAGAAAGCTATTGGTGATGTAGATTTCCATCCATAAGATGTACTAAAACTTGAAACAGTGAGCCAAAACAAACTTCCCTTTGTTTATCACTAGGTGTTGTATGTCCATCAAAAGATCATATTTATGCAATGATGTATTAATCACTAATTAATAGTTAAACACTATTGTTAATATGCATGTAGAATGTATAGCAATTTTGATAGATAGTGGGAGTATTTAATGATGAATTTGTATTTATTTAATTTATATTAATAGTAGGGGATATACAATTCCAATAGTTCAGATAATAAGCACTTTAAGTGATTTAGCATTATAGTGAGGTATTTCCCTTTGCATTAGGTTTATTTTTCTTTGGTTGCTAGTAGTTGGTTAGGTCGTTCTTTCTTTCTTCAATTAAGCTTAAGTTTGTAGAATCTTCTATGTTATCACATATATTGATGTAGTACCTTGCTAATACTACTAAGTAACTTGATTCTGGAAGGGTAGGCGCTACCATTTTGGTCTTGCATTGTTCTTTATTCTTCTCCCCCATTCTATTCCCATAAGGAATACCGTTCTACATTGTTCACTCAACTTGATCAAAGTTTGAAAGAAACAAAGGAGAGATAGAAGATTTTAAGGTAGAATAAACAAATTCAGACATCTTTCCATTGGAGATTTTTTGGTGATAGTGTTGAATTTGTCCATCTTTTGCTAAGTCTCGTACTTGGTCCATTTTTTTGTATAAATTTATGCACCTATTTAGAGAGGAGAGTGGTATTTGGCTAGTATTTTGTTTCTATCTGAAACACATGAAGATTTCCTTTTTCTATTTAATAATTGACCATCTATTCACGTTATCTGACGTACAAAGTGGTCCTTCCCGCTGTATTTTGTCCTGAAAGAGTTACTAACTTATAAAGACTTGTTAAAGTGTATTATAGCAAAGATAGGTTTCTCTTGTGTGCTATGTTTATATATTTATCTCATTAGGATGGTTATGCCCTGTAAATTGCATTGTACTTGCCTTTTCTTCCGTTTAATGCCATTACATTCTGCATAACATGACAACTAGCATATAGAAATTATGAAGAAATCTAACTTCCGCTCATCATTGAATACATGAACTAATAATTTCTCTTGGCAAATTCATGTCAGGTCAAGCCTTTTTTTGTCATGTACTCTTCCTAATTTAGTTAAATTTACAGATCGAGAAGGAATGCATCGCTCAGAATAGCTCAACAAAATTTAGTCATGCGAAAGTAATCTTATTAGTCATCTACTTTCTTTGATGATACCTGTCCTAACGTATTTCTCTTATAGCACTTGGTTCGTATTCATACTACTTTTTCCATTTCTGTTCAAATCTTTTGAATTACTTTGTAGCAGTTTTTCTTTTTAACATGCTAGGAACAACAATCCAATTTCAATGTTTTTGTGGAATTATTAAGGAATTCATTGATTGCTGCTAAGAAAATGTGGTCTAGGTGTGATGCATGCTTTTATCATTGTTCAGGTGCAAATCCTGGACAAACTTCTCTACAACCTTGCTCCCTTCTAAGTGTTGGACAGGTAATCTCTTCCTTCGTGCATCGTTTCTTTTTTCATATACTGGTGGCATATGTTTTCATATAAAGTTGTGACATCTGTATAATTTATCATGCCAGAAGATGAGGCAGTGACTTTGTTGTATTGTATTTTTCTTAAAACATTGTATTAACCTGGCAGTGGACATGTAACGATAATCATATAAATCAGGTGCATATATATTAAGAAAGGTCGCAGGTTGGAGTCATGGTAACATTCAATCTACAAAAATGCAAAAGAAAGGTTGTCTACAAATACTCCTGTTAGTATTACCATCGCTTGCAAAACAAAGGAACCTTATTGCACCAGGATCTTTTTTGTTCCATTGAAATAACAGAAGGTCACAATATGGTTTCAGCGAAATATTCACTTGGTGGAGTGCTTTGTTATATTTGTTTAGCTATGCTTGTGGTTCGAAAGTGACCACTATAATGGCATTGGGAGTCTACTTACTGATTTTCATGAAATAGTAGGATAAGAATTAAGAAATACATGAACTTGTAGATTTGGAGATTGTGTTTGTCAAATACTGTTAGAGGTTATCTTAGAGTTAAATTCCTTGTAATCAGGTGCAGTACTTCCTCTTTATGAGTCAATCTATGCTTCTGGGTTATGAAATTGAAATGCTTACTAGTTTTCATGATTAACTTGCTGGTTTTCATGAAAAAGAAAGGATGAGGAAATAAACATGCTTTTCATAACCCACAAGCATAGATTGACTTAAAAGAGGAAGTACTGCACCTGATTACTAGGAATTTAACTTTAGGATAACTTCTAACAGTATGTGACAAACTCGATCTCCAAATCTACAATGTTCATATATATCTTAATTTTTAGTAGAAAGAATCAAATTGGTGTTGCTTTCTGAGGCAGTGAGTGCATGACCCTGACACCCGTGGTCATTCATATACAAGCCATGCTTTTCATCTTATGTTTTTATGTTCATTTCATACCCGTGGCTCAGAAGAATGCTCTCACATCTCTTTCACATACTGTTCAATCTGTGAGATGTTGTGCATCTCATCCACATTTCTGAAGCTAAGTGGTAGTAGTAATATTTTGATTTAAATAACGGATCAAGGCGAATTTAGAGGATCCGACCTACATTGAAACATCTTCAATATTGATAAAGCAGTCATGGCTTGTATGTGGATTCCTATAGACATGAAACAAAAAGTTTAGAGTTTGTTTCTATTCATGCTTGTGATTTACAAATGGATAACCTATACGTCAGTAGACTGAAAGTTGTAAAATTTAAGTTAATAATTTTTGTATTTTCCTGTTCTCATTATTTGCATATTATTTTGTAGTTTTGGAGATGTATGAAAATGTCAACATACAAAAAATTGTTTGACCCAAGAAATGTTGTGCATTAAAAAGAATCTGAATGGCCAGAGAAAATCATGTTCACGCTTGTCTTCCTTTTGTTATGTTGAATTTATTCTACACCGCAAAGATATTTAGTAGGGATAATATTCCTATCAGTAAATGGAAGAGTTGCTAATTTATATCTTGGAAGTGGGTTATGGAGACAAAATAAACATGCATTGGTTATGGAAACTACTGTTTGCATCAATAAAGAAATATCAGATATTCAGTCATACACCATGGGGGAGATGTTCTTAAAGAGAGAAATGAATTTAGCTGTGCAGCATGGGTAATCCATATAGTGGACAAAATGCTGGATCCCGTCTACATCACCTGCAATACTCCAGGATTGGCATCAATAAGTAGTATCATAGTGTTTGGATTTAATTTAGTGTTCATTAAGCTGGAGTTTATGCACTATAACTTATCTTTCGTAGTTGCATAATCAGGATGTTTAGAACTAAGTAGTTACTTCATCTGTCCCAAAAATAGATGCAACCTTTTCCTGTTTGGGTTGTTATGTGTTAATTGCGGTGCTTGCTTTCTTGGCAAAATTTCATGTCGAAATGACCTCTTTGCTTGTTAGGGTTCTCGAAAAGTGTGAATACTTTGTTGATCATGTTAAGAAAAAATAGAGTATTGATTATAAAGTGGCATATTGGGCTAAAGATTTAGAGCACTAATAAAACACTAGAGGCACATGCATATCAAAATGACACCTAAAATCATGAGGTTGTGGAATGCTAGTCTTATATATCTAATGAATACTCTAACTATATATTGCTACAATCTAGGAAACATGAGAACAGGTGAATGTATCAGGTGCTGAGTTTGACATTTTTGAGAAGACTAAAATGGGGTGCTACACATCTACACACATAGAAATAAATGCTAAGAAACATCATCAAAGTATTCAAAGCAATATCCAAAACACTATCAAATCCTATTGGGATGTCGTGTGCTACAAGCATATGAAGGATAACCATCGAGATGTTGAGAAAACTGAACAAGGGAACATGTAAAGTAGGCATACAGGAACGAGCACATATGAGTACGTATGAACAAGAAATTTAACAGGTGAGATGTAGAAAATACAATCACAGTGAAAACATTTAATGCTTTTTATAATTTACATATAACATGTTCAATTATTTGAAGTTTTCTATTTGTTTTTTGGCCATGGAAGTATTTCGAAGCCTTGAAACCTAAAAGTTAAAAATGAGCCAACCCCTTGAAGCAGAACCATCCCAGCTGTATCTCACCTGCACACAAGCTGGACCTGAATCCCACCCGATTTAGCTAAATCATATCCAGCTGATTATTTTTTTTAAAATTTTAATTTTGGTAAATAGGATCACGTCTGATGCTTATCTGGCTTCAACAGATCTGCACACATTTTCATAGTGTACTAATACGATGTTCTAGGTCTTTTGGTGGTTCATAGGCTACAACTGATGTATCTAATTCGAAGGCAATTCTTGTTAAACTCTGTTGATTTCTTAGTCTTAACCTTTACAAAGTTAGGCATGATACCTTTCATTCTACCCTACTGTCTTAGTCTAGTATACAATCACCAGCTCATGGATTTTGACAAAGATCATCTAATTCTTTAATTTATTCATTTCCTAGTGTGAATGTTTATTTTATACCTTTGGGCCACTTGTTGACCATCTTTCTTGTTTTTTCTCTTATGCTTTTATAAGAAAGCTTATCTTGTGCAACAAATCACTGGTTTTGATAACAATTTGAATCCAAGAGTTGCTTCAATTAATAAATTTTTTATGCCTATTAATGACGTTCATTACGAATTTCATGATGTTGACTATGTTACACTAGGGATCGTTTCGACGTTCATTATCCGTAGTTTGAGCTGCTGTATGACCTTTTTATTTGAAGAAGTGTTTGATAAAGCTTTCTTGAATAATTTTTCAGGCTTTTTCAGGAACTCAAAATGTTTCGAGTCCACAAAAAGAGGAAGCTTGGAGAGTTAACGTGCGAATCCAAGGCTGTGACCTCAATCATGGATATCTGTGTGGCACAATGGAAGCTCTAAATGTTCCAATGGCAGATACACCAGTAAGCAGAATAGTTTTAATGGGTATATTTTACAATGCTTTGATTTTACAAGATATTTTTATGGTTCATATTAATGAGTATGGATCTATGGTTGTTGACATGGGGAGCACATAAGAGAGTCAAGCTAGATTTTGCCTAGTGAATGAAGTGGAAGAAAACAACCATAATTCTACTAAGGAAATATACTGTTACATTAGAATCGATAGTAGTAGGCTACAGTTGGCTCATTAATAATAGTATGCCTTCTGTCTTCATATATATGTTCAGCTGCTAGTCGTCTACAAGATAGGTTTGTCAAAGTATGAGGTTAGTTTACAAATTTCAGTGGCCAATGGTACACTTTTGATGTGGATTTTGCTCTCTAAAATGTCGTGAGTCTCGTGACATTGTAAATTGCAGTCTAATTACTCCCTACATCCCAAATTAAATGAGCATTTTTGCTTCTGGTACGTCCCAAATCGGATGTGCTTTTTTGGTTTTGTCAACTCTAAGAAATATCTACTTTCTCTTGTGTATTTGAGTGTGGACTACAATTTTATGCTTTTTTCTTCATTCTTTTAATAATCATCAACTTAATCTAATCAAACGAGTCATGAGTGGCATTCCAAAGCATGTTTTTCATCAGATATTACACCCACATGCTCAAGGTTTATGGCTTTTTGGTGACAAAATGATTTACAATTCTAGTAAATAATACATTAATCAAGTTGAAGTGTTTTAGATATCAAAATAAAAACTTAAATAAGTTTTGAGAACACTCGTTTATTTTGCCATGGAAGGAGTATAACTACTAGATACCTACCTAGACTAGGATATGAATATATGATACCATATGTAAGAAGTCTTCTTCTAACACTACAGAACATAGTTTCTTAAACAAAATATTTTACATTCTTATGTATTACTACTAATAATCACAATAATAATTGCAAACTAAAAAAGGAATCACAGCAGTAACGTGAGGATGTGCGGATCCTCTTTTAAAAGCACTTGTAGAGAGGGGAAGGTTTCTACATATATGCAAGTTTGATAGAGCATGTCTAGCTGATGTGGGACTCCAACACCCCCCTAAACCTCCGCTAGGCAGTGCCCCCAAGAACGGAGGGGAAAGAGTGTGTTGTATCTCTAGGTGGTGCTAGATGCCGGCTCAGGTACCATGTGGGGATATGTGAAACCCCTTTGAACTGTGTCTAACTGATGTGGAACTCCCAACAATTAATAATCGGACTTCTATGTTTGGGACTTGCCTTTATCAAATTGTTAAAAGTACTCTATATGAACACAATATAAAGCAAAGGCATGCTTCTTTCTCAATAACGTGTGTTAGATTTTTCTTGTAAGTACCAGGATGGGAACTTATAAAATACGCTACATTACAGAAAATAGATAACTGAAAAGCGAGCATGAATGAAGGACAAATAATGTTGCTTTTATTTTTATTTTTATTTTTTCATGTTCATTTATTATGCTTGATTGTTCTAGCGCTGTTGTGAGTTGTTATCCGTCATCACATCTAGGAATGCCTTATTTACTTCTGTTATTACTTTGTTCATTGTTCATTCTTCATTGTGAATTCCTGTATCCTACCAAAATATTCAACTGCAGGTAGTTACTTTTTGGGAGGGAGAAATCGTTGATACCAAGAATTACACATTTTTTACTAACAAATGGAAAGCAACGTAAGTTTTCTTCTCCTTTTGGCTATGAGCATCTTTGTTTCAGGTTAACAAATTTTCTTATTCCATTACCAAGAGTAGCACTTAGGGGTAGCCCAACTGGTCAGGCATTGTGTTTGCTCCCTATTGATCACCTGTTCAAGTCCCCTCCAGGCCACCAGAGGTTTGCCCGTCTGTTAACTTCAGGACCCAGGGGATTAGTCGAGGTGTACGCAAGTGGGGCCGGACACCCACGGTTATAAAAAAGGAGTTGCACTATGGCTTCTGATGTCGAAAGGCTTACTTCTCAAATTCAACAATGATTTGAAAGAATTTAAAGCGAACATTTTTTGTATTTGTAGAGCTTGCTTTAGAAGTTCTGTTAACCAAATCTAACACTTGAAGAATTTACATCAATCCTGAAGTTAAAGTAGTCCCATTGACGTCAGAAGTTGAATGTATATGATTCATAATTGTTGGGAACAAAGGAGATGTTTGAAAAGCTGTGTTCATGGATTGTATAAAAAGGCAATTTTCCACATCACTTTGCAAACTGTGACAGGTCAGAAGTCGACATAGAACACTGGACAAAATTTCCTTCATTCTCGCCTCTTTTAGTAAGTCCTCAGAATACCCAACTACTCCCTCTGTCCCGAAATAACCGTCCATATTTCTTTTTTAGTTTGTCCCGAAATAACAGAAGTGTGTGCCTACTTTCCAATTCTACTCTTTATTATATGAAAAATTCATTACTCCCTCTATTATTAAGGGTAAAATCGTCTTTTAGTTGATTAAAAAGTGTAATAATCACACATTTCTAACATTGTCTGTTTTTTTCTTTGTGGACGTTTATTTTGGGATGGAGGGAGTAGAACAGATGATAACAGTAACCTATGATGAACTCACATTTTTATCGTATGCTTGACACTCTGTTCTTGTCAGAGCCAAGTTGAGGTTGATGGTGGGAAGTCATTGGACCTCAGCAACTATCAATATATATTTATGGTAATTTGGCTTGCTTACACTTGACAACCATTTCAAAACTTTATCATATATTTCTTTTTCTCACTTTGGCACACTTTTCCGAAGCCGAGTGTCTTCACAGAAACAACCGCTCTACTTTTTGGGGTAGAGGTCGGGTTTACATACGTCTTACATTCCCCAAACTCCACATCCGGATGGGATATAATGGGTTCGTTTGATTTAGCTTATTTTATCTCTTTCTAGCTATCTGTTTAAAAGTTACCTATTTTGTTGCTAATCTCTTTAATGGTAAAGAATGAGCCTATAATTTTGGGTGACCGTGATTTTTTTCCTGTCGTGATTCAGAGATGGAAAGAACAATACTTTGTTAATGTTGGAGCTGATTGTGGGTTGACAATTGCTGGCTTTTACTATGTTTGTTTCTCTTGTGTGGATGGCTCGATCAACGGCTACTATTACGATCCAAATAGCAGGTACTTGTCTTTTTTTTTGTTACAAAATCTACCCTTTTTTCTAGCATGGGTTGTGATATACACAAAAACAACTGCTTTACTATTTAGAGTAGAGCTCATATGAATTTTGGTTCTTTTTTTTTTGGGGGGGGGGGGGTCATTAACATAAATATAAAATATACGGAAAGTTAAAGAAAATAGTATACAAATGAGAACACAAGGTATTAGTTTGTCCCAAAATAAGGATCCAAAATTAGTGTCTACATTTTTATATTAGCTTGTCCCAAAATAAATATCTACTTTCTCATTTTTCCCTTAATTGTGAGATTGGAGAAAATTTCTCTCTATTATTAAGTGCAAAAATTAGTTAATTAAAAAGTGTAACAGTTGCACATTCCTAAAACTGTGTCATTTTTTATGTGGACATTTATTTTGGTACGAGGGGAGTACAAAAAATAAGCCATTTAAATATAAAATATAAATTTAAAATGTATAGTGTAAAAAAGATGAAATTATTTAAATCTATGGGGTGAATTTTATTTATCGGGGTCAAAACAAGACATTTATATATGTAAAAACGAATTTGAAACTTCATGGGGGGCACCTGAACCCCAACTTTGGTTTTGGGTCCGCCCCTAACTGATCAGGTATGCATACATACCCCGATCCCACCTCCAGATGTGGTATATGGGCTCKTTTGGTTTGGTTTGGTTTGGTTTCTAGCATGACTTGCTGTTATAGCTTTTTATTGGAAGCAAACATTATGAAATGATGAACGGTTTACTCCTTACAGCCCGTTCCAGAAGCTTGAGCTAAAGACAACGAATGAAGGAAGATCGGGTTTCAGCTTCTCTTCCTATGAGCTGCAATGAGAGTCGGTTGTTTGTTTCATAACACAAACCAAAAACGACGATTGATGCTGAAATTGGTGTACCGATCTTTCTTTCGCTGCTAAAATGGTAGGTTTTCAACCTCAAATATAAGATGGAACATATTGATGGGAAATGATCTAGGGAAGTCGACTATAATGAACTTGGAAAATTGAAATCCGTTGCGTGTTCATTTCTCGAACAAAATGTATTTGTTAGATGTGAAAAATCAATCCTGTATCTTGATACGATCTAACAGATTATATCATACATTGTGAAGCTATATTTATGAATTCAATGGTATGAAAGATTGGCTACATGCACCATCCTTACATTGGTTGGGTTGAAGGTATTTGAACGACCTTACCCAATGTTTGTGGTTTGGAAAATCTCAACCCAACGGTCCCAACCCAACAAAAACGAAAGTACAACCCAACCTATACCATGTAGGTTAGGTGTTGGATTGGACGGGTTGAAACTTTGGTACAATTTTTTTTAAATACATCTAATCGATTATGTTTAAAAGAAGTAAAATCAAAATGAGAACATACGTATAAGACTAACAATTACATAAAATATATTAAGAGATATTTGTACATAGGCAGTTATGTACACTATTTCGTATGTGGTAATAGTGTACTCGTCTGTTTATTCAAGCTACTATAACAGGTTGCAACAAACTCGAGTTTCAAAGAGGAAGAAAAAATACAGCAGATAATTTTGTGCATTTGTTATAGGTCCGTTAAAACATGCATCAAACTTAAGGTTCATGTAAATAAGAAAGTAAAATTACGGTTGAAATTGTGATATAATTATGAATAGAGACCACTACATTGAATTCCATTGACGAAGCAGGGGAAGATGCGGTTAGAGATTAAAAAAAATGTAAGAGAATATATCGCAAGTGACGATATGATTTACGATTGAAGAAGAAACATCCATAGGATGAGGTGTTTGTGGATGATCAGTAAGAAGAAGTCAACTCCGCTACTGAATCTGAATCATGTTGTAAATGTGACGAACTCAACAAAGTTTCTTTCTTTTAAGGAAGAGATGACGTCGTCTTCGTTATGTTCAACAACGGCTTTTGGAAATACAAATTCAAGAGTTTGAGATGGATTTCGAGAGGCTAGTTGACTCTCTTGCTCTTTTTCTTATCAGGTTCTCTCTATCTTTAGTATTTTTTCAATTTTCAACAAAATATTATTTTTATTTGGTTGAGATTTAAGTAATATGGTTATGATTTTTTGTGTTGTTAATCACAAGTGACATTCTAGAATAATACATATGATTCTCGTTTTTTTTGTTAACCTGGATATCCGACCCGCTATGCGAGCCGACTAATCCCAGGGCGACCACCTGCTTTGCAGATAGCCCGGAGTCATCGCATTTGAACCTCCATGGCCACAAGGGGATTTTTATTCCTCCTTGGATTTGAACCTGGAACCTCCTAGTACTTTTGACCTTTGGAGCCAAGTTCAAACCAATCAAACACCACCCTTGTGGTTTATGATTCTCGTTTTTTGTGTTGCTAATCATATGTGATTAACATTTTTATGCTTATTTTATTAAGTGGATCATATATGATATATATATTAGATCAAATGTGATTTAAAGCATGAAAACAATATGTTCGATCAAAAAAACTGTGAAAAAAAAAATCACCCATGATATGTAGCAGATCACATGTGATTTAAATTGTGAAAAGATATCGTGAATCCAAAAGATTGTGAAATAATTCCTGAAAAACGAGTGGGGGGAAATCATGAAAAATAATCTATATATCTATTAAAGGAAGAACCAAGAGTATTGATGTGACATCATGAGAATTGAGTATTGAGGTGTTGGTGAATTGTGGTTGAGTTTGAGATATCCCACATTGGTGAAGAGTTGAAAAGTTTGAACAAAATGAAGTGTATAAAAAAGGTGAATTGGATGCCTTTGTGTCAAATATGAGGTTTGGCTCATAGAGTTGTCTTTATTTGGATGACCCTTTTGAAATCTATAACCATGATTGGAAACCAATCAAATATTTGACAACATGAGATAGTTATTTACCTGTCGTCTTGATGTTAATACTATCACGATTTGACACACCCCTTTAATTACAATTCAAATATTATAGAATGTTACGATAAAATATAATATTTTGTCAGTTTAATATCTGATATGTGGTCATCGACCCCACTTGATATTAATTTTATTTTTCATGAGGGAAAATCCATTATCTTAGCTTGATGATGTGGTTCTTCATGTATCGTATTGGACTTCCACTATTGTTGATACAATTTACGCACTCCTCTAATTTTCACTAGAAATATTATAGAACGTTTCTTCTTCGTAACTTCAAAAATAAGATTTCAATTTAATTTGTTATAAAATTAAAATCGTGATTTTGTCACCTTAGATAAAATTTCAATTAAAACTGTGACTTCTAATTAGACAAACTACTAACATTAGTCAAACATTTGTAGAGTACTTTGCAACACGATTTTCAAGCATAATTAGATAACTTAAATTAGCATATGGTTCTAAGATTGTTGTCAAATCCCTTAAAAACTTTTAATGTACTCACATTTGTCTAAATTTTTTAAAAAGAGTACTTCAAATTTAGTCTATAACATTCCTTTTGAAGATGATATTATTATTACCGCGCAACGTGCGGTTAGAAAACTAGTCATTAGAAAATTTACACATGATATGTATTAGATATAATTAATCAGATAATACTTAAAATCCAAATGACCTTAATGCCCCCTTTAACCTAATTTTACTAAGTTAATCATAACCATAAGATTGGATGAGGTGGCAACATGAGATTAATTATATCCTATCAATCCAGAAATTGATTAATAAAAAAAACACGGGCATAAGTCACTAAATAGGTAAGTCACCAATCCCTAAAACGTCTTTTTCTGAGGAAGAGGCAAAATAGAATCAACTTGAATTCTCTAGAGATATACTAATATGAAGAAGACAAAATTGTTTCTATTAAATTCTTTGTTCTTTTTCGTTTATCGAATAAAATTACTCGTGAAATCATTTCATAGAAGCTCATTGAGCTCTTCTTTTTATAAAGCAAATCAACTTCGTAGGTGTTTTATTTTATATATATATATATATACATATATATATATATATACATATACATATATAGGGGAGCGTTCAAATAAAAACCACTCAATTTGTAAAAACTGTGAAAATCTCATTCAACCAATCATAAATTTTCATTTTGTTCATTTTTTTGTAATTATGAGAGGTTGATTAACCATTTTTATTGTGTAGAGTGTTAATCATGGATATTATCATCTTCATTGTTTTAATTTTAGAGAAATACATGAAACAGTCTCATTAATTTTAGAGAAATACATGAAACTGTTTCATTAA